TGAAAGATAAAAAACCTGTCATTGACCTTTAGAGATTCATTAAAATAAAGTTTAACCTGTGGTAAACCGATAGTCCCTGTGTATTCGGACATGACTAAAGGATGACGCGAGTCACATAAATGTGTTAAAAGTGTCAAAATGATCATTTAATGCCATCAGAAATAGAACATAGAGGTTTTTAGGACCGAGACCGTTCGATTCTGACCATGAATCTCGTTAAAACTCAAAGACACTGCGCCAGGACAGCGGAGATGGAACTCATTACTTTTATGGGCTTTATTAAAAAGAGCTTATTGTTTCCACGTGACTCCAGAAGAGCGTGAGCGGCAGAAATCAATCAATCGCGGATCGATTTATAAACTCCCCCTATCTGCCCAAAAAGGATCAATGCGCATTTCCGCGAGGCCGTGAAGAGGCCGCGCTGTGGATGCGACGCGTCTGCAGAGAGGTTAAGTAAGATTGGATCCAATCCCTTTGGGGTGGCTGAGGGGGTGGAGTTGCGGGGTGGTGGAGGGGGCTGTGGTGGGTCTGCTGGGCTTTCATTCGCAATTAAGCACAAATTGCATCTTCAGACTCATCCCCGCAGATCGACGCGTAATTAAGCTGCGCCATGTGCGTCTCCATCCCGGACGCTGTACAGGCTCGTGCGAGTGTGTATCACAGCGGGTGTATGCATGTGTGTGTGTGTGTGTGTGTGTGCGCGCGCGCGCCTTTAGTGGGGTGTGAAGCTTTTAAAGCGGGTGTGAAGGCAAATCGCCGCGGAAGGTTGAGCAGGATGTCGATAGAATACCGGTGATAAGTCAGCTGCCAGGGGAGCAACAGCTTAAACCTGGACACCACTGCATTTGACCCATGTGGCCTTCTCTGTAGGGTTCACCCCACCACTGTGTCCCATCCGCGGCAACATTATGTGAGTGATGCATCTGTGGGGTAAAGTGCTCCTCTGCAGTGGAATAAAAGTAAGGGGGAGAGGGAGAGGGAGGGGAAAAAACAGGTGTCAGTGAGTTAAACTCCAAATCAGATGTGAACAGGAAAAGCTCAGACAAGTGCTGAGCTCGTCCTCCACTCCAAACTGGCCATGAAATATGTGCAGCTCTACCAATGGCCCCCACATCCCCTGAAATCTGCTGAGATGAGGAGCGGAGCAGGAGATGAAGGGATGGAAATCATATGGAGGTATTTTTTAACTTAATCATTAGAGAACGGCGGCGTCTTTCTTTTTTCATCAAATAAGCCGGAACTGGCCGTCAAACGCCGAGCTAAGCAGTCTGCATTGAAACGACACGTTTAAGAAGATCCGCTCTGGTCCCTCCTTTGTCAGTGGAAGGGGAGCGTCTGCGGCCGGGGGCTTGAGACAGAAATTTATAAAAGTCAGGGTTTTCTTTGTGCTTTTGCATATTAGAGCTTCGCTGCAAGTGCAGTTCCACCGATTTAGGCAAAATGGACATCAGCAAGGTGGAGGATTGGTGGTATGGGCTTTGAGCTAAGCTAGTGGGTATCCAGAGTGGTAACGTGTGGCTGCAGGGGGTGGGCTCAGGGTTATCTGAGGCCTGGAGGAGTCTTTTTTTTTGTTATTGCAGTTTAGTTTTTAATGCTGCTGCTGTGAAGGAATCAGCTCATGGTTGTGCAAGATGTGGAAAAACAGGAAGTTTTAACAGAGGAATTCAAATTATTTTTCTGAGTCTGGAGAGAAAGAAAAGCAGTCAACATATACACCAGAGTGATGTTCTGGAGGTTATGGACTGACTTTCAAGAGTAGAACACTGTCTGTTCTGTTATAGAATTGTCTGATTGGCCACTTCTTGACAATGTATTTTCAATTATTATGAAACATTTACTCCTGTGTATTAATCCAGTAAAAATCCAGACTAGGTTCGTTGGATTTCTGGCCTACAGGAGTAGAGAAAGTCAATGTATATTTGGGCTGTCAATCAAATCTTTAATCTTATTAATCACAGGGTAGTTGAAATGAATTAATCAGGATTAGTCATGATCAGTGTCACTGAGTGTTGACCATGAGGGTGGACCCACTTTTAATGACCTAAACCCCAGCATTCATCAGACCAAGGCAGACTGGTTTCCAGTCCACTAAAGAACCAATAATACTTTAGTTTAATTACAGTGTTTCTGGACTGTGAGAGACTGTGTGTATTTGGTAAATAACTTCATACAGAAAGACCAGCAGTTACTGCCACAGCTGGAACTGGTGATGTTTCTGCTGTAAGGCTGCAGCAGTCATCGCTCTTCCACTGTGTGGTCAATGCCAAAACATTGTTTCTAATTAAGAAAAAAAGTTTAGTACCACAAACACAATTTATCAATGGGCACTGTGTCAAAAATGAGGTCTGAGGCCCCAGCCATAATCCATGAGGTAGGACAACTGTTTCTCCTCCTTCATGCCTTTGGCTGCATCTACTCAATATCATCATAGAGGATGTAATTCATGCTCTATGATATATTTTTGGACCATTTGGATGTTCTTGAGTAGAAGCCCACCTAAACCTTTGGAATAGCCAAATTTCAAGATGGCACTGTTGCAGCAGCTTCTAATACTTTGTCCTTTTCTTGTGTTTCTGTCATATTTGTAGCCTTTCTTGTGTTTGGTCTTTGTGCCTTAACATTTTTTGTTTTCCCATGGAGTTCTACTGCTGTAAAACAGGTAAAACTTTCATTTCTTCTACTCTATCTAGTTGGACAAATTAGTGTCCTGTTACCTATGTTTTTTAATGAGCTGCATGTCCTTCACGTATCCTCTGTTATGGGCTAAAAAAGTTCCAAGTGTCTGAGGAGGTGCCAAAAAAGAAGCTGAAACAAGAGAGTCCTCCTAAAAAAGAAGGATTTGGACGTTCACACAAACACATACGCGCTTCTTATTATAACTCCTCAACTCCCACACGATGAAGAATCACTGTTGACCTTTCCTTTTGTCTCCCCGAGTCTCCGTGGACAGATGATTCCTCTTCCTCTCTCTTCACTCACCGACTCGCGTGCGCTTTTACTAAAAATTGAAATATTGATCTTAATTAGAGTTTGCCGAGCTCAGCAGCTCGCGTTGAGGGTTTTAGACAAGCGGCAGCAGACATCTGTCTAAGGCACTTATGTCTTCAGCGCTGGAGACGAGCTACGTGGGTGAGGAGGAGGAGAGGAGGAAGGAGAGAGAAAAAAAAACCTGTGGTGAGTGAAGAGTGATGGGCCCCTGTCTCCTGCTTTTTCTGAGAAATGTGTCGAGCTCTCCATCTCTGCTCGCTGAAGTCGATCCATCTAAAGGTAGAACTGGCTCCTACACACACACACGCAAACATTTTACCTGACAGTTTGTGACAGTCTGTGTGCTTCCAAAATACTGGAGAACCATCAACAAGCAGATAACAAAGACAGAGGACATGGGTGTCCCAATCTTCAGAATCAGCTGTGGAAAACACACTGAGACACAGA